ACTTGCACTTAAGGATGATGTGGTTGAAAGCCTCTGGGTAAAGATTGGAAGAAAAGCTAATGTGGATGCTGTTGTGGGAGTGTACTATAGATCACCAAGCCTGAGTGATGACACCAATGTTTTATTCTATAAGGAGTTAAGGGAAATGTCTAGATCAATTGCCTTTGTCCTTATGGACAACTTCAGCTTCCCCGGTGTTAACAGGGACTATCATACAGCAGACACAAACAGGTCCAGGAAATTCCAGAAACATGAAATAACCTTTTTTTTTACATAGGTACTAAAGGAGCCGACTAGGAAGGATGTTCTCCCAGATCTGTTGTTTGTAAATAAAGATGATCTTGTGTGTGAAGATGGTGGTGGCTGTCTTGGCCACAGCAATCATGAAATGGTTGAGTTTAAAATCTTTTGTGATAAAAAGCTGTCAGCAGAGCTACTGCCATGGATTTTGAGAGAGCAGACTTCAGGCTGCTCAAGAAAATAGTAAGGTACCCTGGAAATCTGCTTGTGAGGGTGTTTGGGTCCATAAATACTGGTTACTTTTTAAGAGACATCTTTTAAGAGTGAAGGAACAAGCAATTTAAATGTGTTGGAAGTCAAGCAAGCAAGGCAGAAGGATGGTTTGGCTGAACAGATGTCTCCTGAAACTTAGGTAGAAAAAAAATATGTCCTGACTTCGGAAACAAGGTCAGGGTACGCCAAGGGACTAGAGAAATGCCAACTGCCACTGTAGGGAGAAAACTCTTACAGCCAAAGATCAATTGGAGTCAAAGCTGGCCGGTACTGTGGCAGATAACAGAGGGTTTTTTAAGTATGTTAATGGTTATAGAAGGACTAAAGAGAACATAAGTCTGTTATGCTAACGGGTGAAGTTAAAGCAGGGATATTTAATGCCTTCTTCACCATTTTTAGACTGCCTGGTAGACAAGGGGAAGGCAGTAGATATGTTTGATTTTATTATTTTATATGTATTTTATTATTTTATATTTTTTATTATTTTAGCAGAGCTTTTGGTACTGTCTCTCACAGTATCCTGAACAAAATGTCCAGCCTACAGCGAGATATGTACATAATACTGTGGGTGAACATATGGCTGAAGGGTCAAGCCCAAAAAGTTATAGTAAATTGGGTAACATCAGGCTGGCAGCTAGCCATTAGTGGTGTTCCTCAGGGCTTAATTTTAGGGCCATTTCTCTTCAGTGTTTTTATCAACAACCTGGACTTAGTAAGGTTGCAGATGATAGTAAATTTGGAGGAGCCCTTGATTGCCTTAAGGGCAGAGAGGCCTTACAGAGAGATCTTGATAGGTTAGAGCACTGGTCAATCACCGTCTGTATGAAATTTAACGAGCAAATACCAAATTCTGCACCTGAGACAGTGTATTCCTGGTGGTACGTATAGTCTGGGGGACAAATGGCTGGAGTGCAGCCCTTCAGAAAGTTCTCTGGGACGGTTGGTTGATGCTCAATATGAATTGACAGTGTTCCCTGTTGGCCAGAAGGGTCCACCATATCCTGGGGTGCATCAAGCACAGTACTGCTAACTGATCAAAAGACATGACAGTCCTACTATACTCAGCATTGGTGCTGACTCACCTTGAGTACTGTGTGCAGTCTGGGGCTCCACAATATAAGAAGGATATACAAATATTAGAATGCTTCCAAATGAGGGCAACAAGGATGGTGAAAGGACTAGAGGACATGACTTATGAGGAATACTTGGTTTGTTCAGCTTAAAGAAGAGGAGACTGAGGGTTGACTTCATTGTTGTCTGCAGCTTCATCCTGAGGAGTAGAAAAGGAGGTGCTCATCTCTTGACTGGAGAGAGGATGCAAGAGAATGACTTAAAGCTGTGTCATGGGAAGTTCAGATTGGGTATTAGGAAAAAATTCTTCATTGAAGGGGTGGTCAAGCACTAACAAGCTCCCCAGAGAAGTGGTTATGGCCCCAAACCTGTTAGTGTTGCAAGAAGCATTTGGACCAGTCTCTTAGATACTTGGTTTATCTCCTAGGTTCTGTGTGGAGTCAGTTGGAGTCAATAATCCTCATGGGTCCCTTCCAACTCAGAGTGTTCTGTGATCTTAAGACTTTTCCCACCCCACAAAGAAATTGTTCCCCAGAAGGCAGGAATTTAGTCTGTTTCCTTTCTGTTGAGGAGAACTGCAGGAGGAAAATTTTGTGGAGGATTAGCCACAAGATGACAGTGAAGCAGATCACTGACAGCCACTCAAAGAAGCAAATGAAGTAGATGTAGGAAGTCAGCAGCATGCTCCTCTAGTCATAACAATGTTGGAATCTTTGCATGAAGTAATTTGCTGAATTAGGAATTTTTCTCCAATTAGGAATTTTTCTCCAATTTTGAAGCTGGTTTCTAATTAACTGCTAATGTCTCAGATCCCCCAGATTTTCACGTTACTTAAATTGAATTTTCCTAATTAGGGACACTAAGTACTCTTAAGTCAGCCCACCTCATAAAAGCCCTATCTTGTTGCCTGTTTCCTGACTTCTATATGTTTTATAGACCCGAACATATGAAGTAATCTGTTTTATATAGAGCTGCATAATTCCAGTTTGGCTTCTTTTAATCCCTTGTAGTGATTTTATATCATAGCTGTTTGTTATATGAATCCTTAGTGGTAATTAGTCTTGTAAATGTTTTCTTAACTATAATTTTTAATATAAGGCTTCTCCCTCAAGATACTTAACTAGAGAGACAGGAGCTTTTGGTGAACAAGTTACCACAGGGGGGAGTCTTTCAGTTTGTCAGAACTAGATGGCAGTCCTGTTGGGGAGGGGGAATCCATATTTCCCAGGGTGTCTGTAAGCCAGAGGATAAAGAACTTGCCCAGGATTTAAGTTACATATTTGATAAAAATTTTGTTTAAGAAGAAATTGGAGTCATACCCTTTCCCCTGACCACATGAGTACAAGAAAGGTGACTGGAGTGCTACAGAGCATAACTGTCTGAACCCCATTTAATAATTCATTTTCATAAAAACATTTACAAAACAGAAAATCTGGGGTTCCTGTCCACTGCTGGGTGAACCTAGCCACTCTGGGGAGTCTGTCTGTCTTGATTCTTATCATTACAAAGCACAAAACTGAAGCCCAAGTTGGAGAAACCTTGGGAGAGCTGAGTTTTGACTGAATTAGCCTTGAACTGAGTGAAGCTGGCCACTTTGTGTCCAGTGTTCCAACTGCTGCACTGAGAGACTGCAGAAATAGATGCATGGGAAGGTCACCCCAAGTAGTGAAATGAAACAAAAGGAGTGTACAGTTTGTTGGGTTTTGTTTGTTTTTTGAGGGTAGGGATTTTGTTATTGTATGCTCAGTATCAGAAAAAAATACATATATTATTTGGCCACCAAAAATATGTTGTTAGAAATAATGTGTAAGATAATACTGTGTTGAGAAGATGGCACGAGGTGACTAGCTGCAATTGAAGGTTCCTTGTCCATGTGCCATAAAGACAGTTGTAGAGGTGGTCTCCCCCCTGTGAATAAAGGAAAGCTTTAGTTTTACTCTGAGGTTCCCCAAATTTACTCTGAGGTTCCCTGAAATACGTAGTGCAATAAGGGTTGGACCCTATGTGAAGCAGGTGGCTGGATGGATTTAATGGCATCTACTGGACTAAGACTAACCTAACTTTTTTGTGTCACAAGAGGGAAGTTGGGGGGGCAGACACAACAACTACGTGGATTTTGTAAGCCTACAGTTACTTAAGGGCTGATGCAATCTACTTGTGGGTTAGAAAACAGGAGGACAAACATGGAGAGAAGCGTACATCAGTGAATTTCCTGCAGCATGGGGATGTTACACCCACTGCAGGGAAATTGTGTGCTCATGAGAGGGTTGCCTGTCTGTTCAGGGGTTGCCAGGAGCCAAGTCAGCCCAATGCAGGGAATGCTGTCCTCACTTGCTCTCCAGAGTTCTTAGCAGTGGAAAATCACTGGGAGACTGGATCACCCTTGCCAAACTCCTCTGCCTGTGATGTTTCTGGAATGATCTTTGCCCTGGTGCCTTTCAGTAGGAAAGCAACAGAAAGCAGGGAGAATTTTCCCTTGTTGAGTTTCCCACTTGCCTTAGACCCACTGACAAATCACTTTGAGTACAGACTTAGGTGTTCATAGAAGCTGGTTTAACTCCAAGGGGGAGCTAATGCAAAAAGAAAAGCATCAAAACCCACACTGTACAGAAGAAACAGTGTGTGCTCTACATCAAAAAGGCAAAATGTCTTTAACTGAATATATGATAAAATATTTCCTTGATCAGTAGAGTTCTTTTGTAAGGACAGCGACTGCTGGCAGTTATCACTGCTTACAGGACGCTAACCTTTAACAACTGGGAGCGAAGTCCATGAGGAGAGGTCTAGTTGGGCTGCTTTAGTGCTCTGGTCGGTTGGAGCTGGAACCGAATTTTGGAGAGAGGGGGAAATGTTGAAGGTCTAAGGACAGCTTGAGCACTTGGGCAACGTGGCTCTCCCCAGAGCAGCTGGCAGCGGGGTGGGGAGGCTCAGCGGTCCTCACCCAGCCCGGGTACAGAAGGCCGCGCTGTTTGCAGCTCTCTTGAGGTTTGCGTCCTTTTTTTAGACGTCGTTAATTAAAAAGCGAGGCACAAACCCCACCTCAGGCAGCCCGCTAAGTACACGTTTGCGAAGGCCGCGCTGTGACGGCCCCTCCCTGCCCACGCCCTCCGCTTGCAGCCTGTGGCCGAGCTCGGCTCCGCGCCCCCTGGCATCGCCGGTGCCTCCCGTACACATGGCGCGGGCTGCGAACCCCCAGGGACCGCGCCGCCCGGGAGCAGGGGGCGGCTCGGGGCGAGGACGTGGCCGCCGTGCTCCCTGCGGTCCTGCGGCCGGCCGCGCCCCGGGCCAGGCGGCGCTGTGCCGGGGCGGCCCGGGGAGCGCGGGGGGGGCCGAAGCCCGGCCCGCGGGGGGTGGGGGGGGAGGGCCGGGCTGCCGGCGCCCCCGTCTGCGGGAGGGCGCCGGTAGGGGCGAGGCTGTGGCGGGCACCGCCTCCTTTGGTGTGCGCCGGCGTGGCCGCGATTGGCTGTGCGGGCGGTGACGTTGCAGGACTGCGGTTGTCCCGTGGAGCGGCGCGGGGCCTCCGCTGCGTCGCTTTAAAGGGGCCGCGCTCGCGGCAGCCCCGGCGTCGGCGCTGGCCCCGAGGCGCTCCCGAGCCGCCGGTGCCCGGCTCCGATCGCGGCGGGTGCGCGGGTCTGGGAGCGCGCCTACGGGCACCGGCGGGACCCGGGCGCGCCGGGGAGGTTTCGAGCCGGTAAGGAAGGTCTGGGGGCTGAGCGGGCGTGAGTCGGCACCGGAACGGCTGGCGCCGGGACCGGGAGGTGGCGACCCCGGTCGAAGACTCCGAGCGGTGCGCGGGGGAGCCGGGTGCCTGCTCCGGGGGGCGCCGATCTGCCGGGACCGGTGCCGGTGCCGAGAGGTGCCCGCTCGGGAGGAGTCTCCGGCGGCCAGTGCCGGTCCTGGAAGGCACCGATCCGGCGGGGCTACCCGAGGAGCGCTGAGGCTGGTGCCGCTCCCGGGAGGTGCCGGTACCCGGCAGGAGCCTCCAGGCACCGATCACGCGTGAGGCAGCCCTGCCGCGGCTGTCGCCGGTACCGGCGGGTCCCGAGGAGCGGCCACAAGGGAGCTGGCACCGGCACCTGCCATTCTCCTTGGCGGCGGGCAGCGGTTCGGGACGCGTCGGTCTCGGACTCGGCGCAGCGGCCGCTGTCGGTGCCCGCCGGCCCCCGGGGACGCGTGTGCCCGGCGGCAGCGGCGGCGCCGGGCCGGGCTCTGGGAGCTGATTTTGGACTCTGCAAAGCAGCCACCATCCGTCTGGATCCGGCATTCGTCACCTCCCAAGTGCAGCGTTTCAGGGCCAAAACAACCTGCTTCGGCTTTTTTTTTTTTTTTTTTTTTTCAGAATCGTGGTGTCAGAGAGCGGTGCTTTGGCCCTGACGCTTGTTTCGGGAGCCTTTGGCTGGGAGCACGCTGTGTTTTGCTTTCTGCTAGACAGAGCAGGGGAAGAAAGGAACATCCCATCACCCAGAGTGACTGGAGTGTCTGCAATGCCCCATCCGAACGCATGGGAAGGGAGCTGGGAGGACAAGTCCTGGCCTCAGTGGCTGCGGGGAAGGTGTTTTAATTTGCTTTTGCAAAAGGAATTCGGGGAGCAGTGAGAGCTATGGGGTACAGGACGCTGTGGAGGGGAGGGCAGGAATTAGGCACCACACCGTGCAGATGGGGTGAGGGCTGGCTGAGATGTGCTGCTCTGAGCTCCAGTGTTTGGGTATTTGTTACTGGTTTGCTCATTAGCTTCTGGTTCAGGAGCTGTTTGACAAATGGGCCGAGCCAGGGACACAAGCAGGTCTGGTTTAATTCCAGGAGCAGCAAAACTGTCCAGTGGTGCTGGTGTCTGTGCTAGAGAGGAATATTTTCCTCTCCTTTACTTTTGGGGCAACAGGACTCTTGTTTTTACTTTCATACTATTCTAGTGGGTAGTCAAACAAGTCTTCCAAAGGTCAATGGTTGGATTTTGAATTTTAAAAAAAGGTTGTACGCTCCAGAAACATCAAATGGTTTGATAAGCTTAAAAACATACGAGCAGATGAGTAGAGTAAGCAGGGTGATTAAAATCTGCTTGAGGGACTGTTCTTACAACAGGGAAATGCCCCAGTGCCCCATTTGCTTTCAAAGCTCAGAAGTAGCCAGCTCCGAAACCAGGTGCTGATCCCTGTCTGCATTTGCGCAGGGCCTGATCCTGCAGCAGAGGGTGAGCGTGCAGCATAGTGCTGCTCTTCTCCCTGCAACTTGTCCTGCATTGAACCCGTTACAGGATTAAGCCCTAAATCCCATGGCAGGGTGGAGTTCCCCTGGGATGCACAGCAGTAACTGTGGAGATAACAAGGGAGGCAAATACTCCTGGTTTCCAGCCTTTCCACTCTGGGCCTCTGTGAGGCAGAAAGATGCCTGAGAATGACTGGAGGGACAGAAAACATCAAGATTTTAGGGATAAACTACCCTGGGAAATTCTTCTGTCCGTGACACCAACAGCTCACTGCTTTTATCAGGCGTATTTTGACCCTCATCCTGAATTGCTTGTTTAACCCTTTGTGTTTCATTTTCTGTTTCAACATTCAGGCTTTGAATAATGTTAGGAAGCACGGCCACTTTTATTTTATTTTGGAAGGACTTCTTTTTTACAGAAGGTGGAAGGACACTTCCAGGAAGCAGTTGCTTGGTGAGTCATCTCTGTGTATAAATAGCTCTGGTGGGAGCGGTACCATGGCTTGCTGCTTCATGGAGCCGTGAGGTGCAAAGTTGTGGAGGGATTTGGTCATACGCACCACCACAAGGGAAGCCTGGGCTCCCCCCCAGCCCATACAGAGTCAGCTGTGCCCACCCTGCCTGCTAGCACCACAGCCTCCCCATGCTCCTGGCTGTATTTGTCAGAGTACTTCAGAGCGGGGACGTTTGTTGAGTATTTTGTCTTGTCTCTACTGCCTTCCACCTTGTGGCAGAGTCTGGGTTTAATGTGGCTGTTGCCAAATCTTGGAATGTAGCTACAGTTCAGCCTGGTTATCTTTAGATGGAGAGAAAGAGCATCAATTTCTTAAGAAGATTTAATTCTGATATCTCATGTTTCCAAATCGTAAGGAGAAAACAGCACACGGGAAAAACATGATTTCTCCAGCCTTACCCTGAAGGCCAGCAGTGAAAAGTCCCGTTCTGGATCTTTATTCACAAAATAACACTGTCTTAGATTTTATTTCTTCCTCTCATACAAGTAATGCACGTATTGATGCAATTAATAGTGGTGTCAAGGAGGGCTGAGATTGGAAGAGGCCTCTTGCTGAAGCATGGCAGGGACACTCATATCTCCTGCCACTGGATGGGGCAGCAAGAATCCAAGTTGACACTGAAAATGGTCCAGTGGTCTCATGCTTCTGCCACAACCTTGGACGGTCCAGGAAAGGAGAGTATCTGCTCAGAGCAAGGGGTGGGATATTTCATTGTCCCCAGATGCTTCATTTTCCTGTCTGCCAGATTTCATCTCTGAACATGTCTGTGGGTACTCGAGTGGGTTGGAGGGACCTGGATGGAGGATGCCGCTGCCTGAGCACTCACCTCAAACCCCTGGGGCTGGTCTGAGGCTCTTCAGGGTAACAGGGACGTCACTGCAGTGTCAGTGCTGGCAACACTGGGAGCAATGAGCCTGGTGGAGCAACTGATTTTGTTTTCCAGCTGATGGGCACAGCTAGATTTATCCCCAATGGGGCTATTGATGTCCATGGCACTTCAGTGAGAGTAAAGTGATGTCACTGAAGGGAGGAGCTTGCAATGGGGTAAATTCACATGAGACCTGGGTGGCTAATGGTCCTTCAGACCTCATGCTGGTCAGCTCTAAAAGGATGCCAAGCTAAAATGAACCAACCTGGCTTTTCTCCAGCTCATAGATTTGTGTTTGTTTGTTTGTTTTTGTTTTGTTTTCAAATATTTATAACAAAACTTTAATTTGGGAGAGATGACTACATATAAGGGGATTGGGGAACCTCAGATGACAAACGCTAAAGGGACTATAAACTACTATAAGATTTCTGTTAATATCTATGTTCAACCTCATCTGCCCATGTGTGGAATCTGTTGAAATCTGTTCTGTTTTCTGTTTGCTAAATACAAAAATCTTAGACCCAAGAAAGCTCTTTCAGGAGTCAGATAAGCTTGTTATAGCCACATCATCTCTTATAGCTGCCTGTAACTGCTGTCATCCATGGGGGCTCTAACCAGCTGTTCCAGGGCTCTTTCCATGTGCCTGTGACTTGCTACCATAATGCATCCTTATGGTTTGAACCAAAATTATTTTTTCACTGTTGATGCCACTTTAGAATTAAAAGGAAAAAAATGCAATTACTCTTCCACACACATTTAATATTTTTTTTCTTGTTTCTTTTGATTTGGACTTGAAAATCACAATGACTAATTTTACCTCCAGGCTGTCTGTAACTTCATTTTGTTTCAAGTCGTGTCTGTTAATAAGCATCATCTTCTGATGGAAAATTTTAACATAGAAGTTAGTTTGGGCAACCTGACCTAGTGGAAGGCATCCCTGCCCATTGTGGGTGGGCTGGAACTGGATGATTTTTAAGGTTCCTTCCAACCCAAACCATTCTATGAATCTGAGTAACTAGATTTTGGTTTGAAGGTTTCATAAAAAGTTGCTTTTACAAAATTTTAAACTGGGGTTTAATTTTGAGTGACCACTTTCTTTTGCAGTATGCTATATTTGCTTTGCAGTTATGTTTTGTTTTGGTGGATTCAGCAACTGTGGCCAAAATAACCTGATGCTAGAATTAAAACTAGACACATCCTGAATAAATCACCTTCAGATAACAAACTTCCTATTGTGATGCTAATGTCAAAAAAAAAAAAACATTGAAATCCTCCTAGCTTCAGCTAAGATGCGGTACTAGCAAACAATTGAAATTTCCCACTTCCCAGTATGTTTTTCCTTATTCTGACTGTCTGACAAAGTTCCCAGAGAGGTTGATCTGTGAGGTTTAGCATTCTGAGCTTTTCTGTCACTCTGTTTTTATCACTATGGACCACAAGAGGTCGGCACAATTCAGGGGAAGTAGTCTGGGGCCTGACTTTGCTCTGGGTTGGCAGACTGGCATGTCTTTACTGGAGCTGCCTGAGCCCTTTTTTCATTCCAAGATAATTACTCCCTTTAAAAATAAAAAAAAAATAATAAAAAAATATTATTTTTTTTTAAATTAAAAACGACCCAAACTATACTGGAAGAAAATCAGGACAATCACGGAACAGGACATGTTGGCAGGGTATATTGCTGAGCGGTATATTTAATATGTGACAAAGCCTGAGCACTTGGGAGTATTAAGGGGGCTCAGGTGCATGCCCACTCACCTTGCTCTCTACAGAGGCATTTAATTGTTTATTTCCTGGTATAAAAGGTTGCGAGCTTGGAAGCTCACTGCAGGACATAGACAACTCAGTGCACCACTCCACGTTGGCAAGCTGGAGCCACATGTTTCTGAGTGCATTGTGACTTCTGACACAGTATCCAAAGGTGACAGACAGGGAAAACAAAGTGATTAACCAACATCACCCTTGTGGTTTGCAGTGAGGAGACCAGCACAAAGAGCCCTAAACAGGACCTTCATCAAGGCGGTGCTTGGAGAGTGATGGTCTTAAAATGAAAAGGTGCTGTGAGGGTGTTGGGCTGCCATGCCTGTTTAAGGTCAGTGTGATTCTCATCTGTTTTGACCTCTCTGTCTCTTCTCAGGGTCAGGGAGCAGAAGTAAAGTATCTGTCCTGCACATCTCTTGACACACATGAGATGTGCACAGAGACCAGCTGGGGGCAGTCAGCAGATGCTGCTGGGTTCAACACTGAGAGGCTGGGGCTCTCTGGCTTCACACATTGTCAGCAACGTGGTTTTACTTTGTTTTTAGAGACAGGCAGGCCCCAGCTCTGAGTTACCCTGGGCCTCTTGGGAGCCCATGGTGCCTGCAGAGCCCAACCCAGAGGCAAACCACATCCAGGTGACAGAGCAAAAATTAACCTGCAAAGTCTTTTCCTCTTAGGAAGAGCCAGACTTGTCCTTGAACAGGTGAGCCTACAAGAAGGAGCAGCAAGAGGGGTTTACAGGGACACAAATCCCGTTTTGCAGGTGTGACAGGGGTGGGGTGGGGAGCAAACTGCTCCGTCCCCTCCACAGGACCCTTGCTGCACATAAACTCCCCAAGGCTAATGCTGTCCATGTCCTTTGGAAGGACATGTATGGTGGTAGCTTAGCACACCAACCACCTTGACTGCAGTAAAGGAATTAGCAGTAGCAAAATGATCTCTCTGTAGGAAGAATAAACACCTTAGAGTTAAGGCTAAGGTATGTCAGCAGTGGACTACCCCCCCCCCCCCCCAACCCTCAGCGGGGTTAACAAGTGACATGGCAAAAGACAGGCAATGATAACTTAGCTAAGAAACAGTGCTCTGTGGAGTTGGCAGCCGCTTGCTATTGTATTTATTGCCCTCATTGTGCTGGGTCCAAAGCAAAGCGCCTTGGACTAACTGTTGGGCTTTACTCTTCCACCTCACAGGGTGTTGGTATGGCCAGCTCCCAGCCTCCAAAGTACCTCCTCATCTTCGACTTTGATGAGACCATCATCAATGAGAACAGTGATGACTCCATCATCAGGGCAGCACCAGGGCAGGCACTTCCAGAGCACATCCGGCAGACCTTCTGTGAGGGCTTCTACAACGAGTACATGCAGCGTGTCCTGACGTACATGGGAGACCAAGGTGTCAAGATGGGGGACTTCAAGACTGTATATGAGAACATTCCCCTGTCCCCTGGCATGCCTGACCTCTTCCAGTTCCTCTCCAAGAACCATGAAGTTTTTGAGATCATCCTCATCTCCGATGCCAACATGTTTGGCATTGAATGCAATCTGAGGGCAGCTGGTTTCTACTCTCTCTTCCGCAAAATCTTCAGCAACCCATCCAGCTTTGACAAAAGAGGGTACTTCACCTTGGGGCCCTACCACAGCCACAAGTGCCTTGACTGCCCAGCCAACATGTGCAAACGCAAAATCCTAACAGAGTATCTGGCAGAGAGAGCCCAGGAAGAGGTGGAGTTTGAGAGGGTCTTTTATGTGGGAGACGGTGCCAATGACTTCTGCCCTTCTGTGACTTTGACTTCAGCTGATATTGCTTTCCCACGGAAGGGCTACCCCATGCACCGGATGATGCAAGAGATGGAGAATAAGCAACCTGGAGCTTTCCAGGCCACTGTTGTTCCCTGGGAGTCAGCTACAGAGGTCACCCGCTATCTCCAGGATGTCCTCAAGAAGTGTTGAAGATAGCTCAAAAGAGGCTTGTTTACCATAAGCATCTGGGAGAGGAGAGTCCTGGAGGGTCAGGTCCTGTACTCCATGATCATCTGGCACTACTCACTGGGACTCTGATTCCTGGGCTGCTTTCCTGCCTTCCTCTCCACGCTCCTTTCTCCCCAGTAGTAAAAGCACTTTCTCTACCCACCCCTCACCCCAGCCTTTCCCTTTTCCATTGCCATGTTGAGATGACGCCTTCTCTATGCAGCTTGGACATCAACTCCAGTGTCGGTGCTTGACAACACTAACAGTGTGTTTTTTGTTTTTCCCTTTTAACTTCACAAGAGCAATTCTTTAAAATCCAGAAGCCAGCTTTCTTGAAGGCTGAGCCCTGCACATGCTTCCTCTTGACTTTACCCTGCTCTCCTCCTGCTCATCTTTGCTTGCCACGCAGAAACTGCGTGCTGTCACCTTCAACCTGATGCTATGAGGGCTCCTTGCCTCTTCAGGAAGCTATTAGAAATTTAATCCATGAAATTTGTGCTGTCCCAGGCTCCACAGCTTGCCATACACTTCACACCTCCCTGCTCAGCTGGTGAGCCTTTTGCTGGAGTTAATTGTTGCTTAAGACTTTATTTTCTGGGGTGGGGTGGGGGTGGGGAAGAAGAGTTGCAGAAAGTCTTTTGGAAAGGTGGTACCTTGCAAAAAAAAAAAAAAAATAATATATATATATATATATATCTCCTATGAAGAAAGGCTGAGAGAGCTGGGGCTCTTCAGCCTAAAGAAGAGAAGGCTCCAGGGTGACCTTACTGCAACTTTTCAGTACTTAAAAGGGACTTATAAAGAAGACAGAGAGCAACTTTTTGCTGAGTCAGATAATGACAGGACAAGGGAGAATGGTTTTAAACTAAAAAAGAAATAAAAGAGAGGGAGATTTAGAATCAGTGTTAGGAGGAAATTCTTCATTCAAAGGCTGGTGAGGCACTGGTACAGGTTGCCCAGAGAGGTCGTGGATGCCCCATCCCTGGAGGTGTTCAAGACCAGATTGGATGAGGCCCTGAGCAACCTGATCTGGTGGGTGGCATCCCTGCCCATGGCAGGGAGGTTGGAACTGGATGATCTTTAAAGTCCCTTCCAACCCAAGCCATTCTATGATTCTTTAGCTCCCATTGCCCCCACCCCACTTTCCCAGGGTATGGGCACAAAGGCCATGTCCCACTACAGGGAAGAGGACCTGACTTCACTTTCTTCTTCCACCCGCTGCTTTCACTTCCAGGGCAGAAGGTCCCCTGCATTCTTGATGCAGACAGGTTCCTCCACATTGAGACAATCTTACCAGCTGTCTATTTGTGTTTGCTGAATCGTATTGACTCCCCTGTGACTTCAGGTGTGACCTGGTCAAGAGGTGCTGAAACTACCCACCAGCTGGAGAGGGAGGTGTGGTGCTTTGGCATTTCTTCTGGTACTGGATCCCTGGAGGCTAAACCTTCTGTGCCCTCCTGCCCCACTGCAGTATTAATTGCCCCTTCTAATTGCACTCTGCAGGGGGGACCTGCAGCATTTGTTGCTCTCTGGTGTTGGCTTTTCCTGGATTTATCCACAGCCTTAACGGCCCCAGAGGGTGATTTGTAACTACTTCAAAGAATAGAAATCCTGGCAACAAATCTGAGCGGTAAGGAAATAACCAAAGCAGCCCTGAGTTGTTCCTCATTTATTTAATTTTTCTCTCTCTTTGTTCTTCCTCTTCTGGACCCTGTTCAACTGTGTGGAACTCAAAGCCATGGTATTAAAAAAATACATATATATGTATATAGATATATATCTATATATTACAGATACACAGTTTATTTTTATCCAGAACATAAACCTGGGTGTGAAATGGCTGAAATGGCTGTGAGGTGCATGTACATGGCATTTCTCTTCCTTGGACTGCTGAAGGAGGCAGATGGGGGGGGGGGGGGGGGAGGGGAGGGCACAGGGAATGGGGCTGGGTTACAATTATACAAATAGTGTTCTGCAGCGTCTTTTGGCTCGGCTTCTCCCCCCACCCCACCCACCCTCTCCCCATTACTCAAGCAGCTGGGCACAACAAGCATTTTCTTTGGGGTTACTGCTAGAGTGCTTCTGTCCTCCTTGCACCCATGATCATTCATGATTTCTGAGCTTTGGTTCTGCTATACCCTGGGGCCTCCCAGAGAGCATCACCAGGGCTAGTCCAAGGGATTTCAGGCTTGCTGCCCTCCACGTTTCAGGCAGCATAAGGGAGAGCTGAGTTGCCCTAGTGCTGAACCTTTACCACATTATCAGCAGTGATTTCTGGTGTAAATAAAAAATAAAACATGGGTGAGAGAGGTGCAGGGAGCAGGCAGTGGGGATGTGCTTGGTGCTGGAGGCTGCCAGGGTGCAGCAGTGAGGGTCGCAGCATCTGAGATGGAGCCCCAGCATGGCTGCCCTCACCATGCTGCAGCAAAAGCTTTGAGCTGTGCAGAACACCATCTGTGCAAAGCCAAAATTCAGTGCATAGCAGAGCCCTCCATACCTCCTGCAGCCTGAGCATGAGTGGATGCAGCTGAGCCAGGTGGGTGATCAGGGGTTGGGGGTGCAGAGGGTGCCTACCCCTGGCACTCAGAAGGGCTCCACATAATTGCCAGGGAAAAAACCTACTTCCTCGCCCATGACGCCCTCACACCATCCATCCGAGTACCTCCGTGTGACGTAGATGAGGGCCCCGGGCTGGAAGGAGAGCTCGTTGTCCTTCTGCTGTGCATAGGGATAGAGGGTGACCACTGTGAGAAGAGGGAGAGAAATGCCATGGAGCAGGACAAGGCCAGCTCCAGGACAACTCACCACCAGGGAGGGCAGGAGAGAAGGTGTGAACCCCTCCATGCTGTCCTCTAGGGGGAGCAGAGTTGCTCCCTTGGTGCTGTGGATGAGGTCAGGGGCTCAACGGGGCAAAGAAATCTGGTGGATCCTGGTGGACCTGAACCTAGAGCTGCTGTACCTTTCTCCAGGTAGCTTGCTGGGACCCAGGGGGGCTCCTCCACATCTGGTGGCAGTGGTGGGGTGAAATCTTCAAAGTCAGGCAAAGCCGGTGGTGGCAGCAGCGGTGACTCGAGGTCATCAGAAACTGCAAATTTCCCCCCAAAAAAACAATGGGGGAAAAAGGGCTCCACATGGAACAGGGGCCGCATGCAACAGTTGTATCCCTGTTTCCCCCATGATGAGCACCCCTGGACCACCTCAGCACTCACCTGGGGGGATGATGTCCAGTGGAGGTAAGGCCAGGTCCCCCAGCGGTGGGGGGGGAAGGTCTGTGGGGAGAGGTGAAGGTGGCAGAACAGTGGCTGCAGCCAGGGGAGGTGGCCCTGGGAGGGACAGGAGCGCTGGTGCTGCAGGGATGCCTTCACCAGTGTCTCCCAGGGCTCCAGTTGAGCTGGGGGTTCAGAGGCAATGCCAGGTCAGAGGAGCCAGGCCAGATCTGTGGCTCAGCCCCTTGTCTTTGAACACAGACACCTGCCCCATGCCAGCACTGGGTGACACCCACTGTGGTCACCATGGTCAGGGGACCTCAGCATCTGTGTGCTAACCCTGTGCAAACCATTTCCTCACTCCATGCGTCAGTTTCCCCGTTATGTACCCTCTCTTTAAAGGTATTTTTGTTCTAGAGATGAGCACTGACTAGAGCGGTGAATCTCAAACTCCCCAAAACCATATGTGTATATATATATACATATATATATATACACACACACACACATATATATATAAAACCAAAACCTCTCTGCAAGTGGAAGCTCCCCAGAGCAGCAGGGTGACCATGGCTGCCCCAGGCCCACTGACCCCTGGGCCTTTCAGAACTGTGCCTGTACCTGACTGATGTCAGAGAGGAGGTGGACGAGGCTGTGGAGAGCTTTCCCAGAGGAACCACAGGTGGCTGTATGGGCTCAGGGACACGGGTGCTCCTCCTGAAAACAGAGCAGCCACTGAGCCCCCTTCCTCCTCCCACTGCACCTCCTTTACAGAAAGTGCCTTGGCATGGGGTTAGGGACAGGACACCAATGACAGCAGCATCACATGAACCTGTAGTGCACTTTGTGGCTGTGTAACCACCATTACCACCTGCTCAGTGACACCAGCATTGTGTTAGCCCTGACGGTCACAGCTGGTCCAGAAAGATAAAGTCCCCACTGCTGCACCCCCTTCCCCCTGCCCCTGGAAGCCTCACCCCAGGGTGCCTGCAGACTGTGTGGCTGACTTAATCCCTTTCCGAGCCAGGGTGCCTGTGCGGGAGAGCTGGGTGCTGTGGTCCTGCAGGCAGAAGGAAACACGGACACATGACAAGCACACTGCACCCCGATGTCCCTGTGGGCAGCAGCATCCCTGTGCTCTTTGCTCCACCCTTCCCCAAGGGATGCTGCCAGGTGGTCCAGGGAGCTGGGAGCTGCCCAAGCTGACGGAAACAGCCAAGCAGCAGAAAGTGCTGGTGCTGCAGTGCTGTGTTGCCACCGTGGGAACAGCAGCTCCAGCACCGCCACTTCCCCTCCAGCCCCGTGGTGGTTTCACACTGTTCATGTACTTGTGATTCTGCTGAACACCGCCACCACCCTTCCCCCCCAGCACCTTCTGGCAAGGGCAGCTGATGAGAGCAGTTTCGGTGCTGGAAAAGCACTGTGGGAGTGAGAGCACAGCGGCTCAGCCCTGGCCCCAGCATTGCTGCCAGCCTTGGCCAAGCAACTCCAGCATTCTGTGTCTTTCTGGCTGCATTTTACCATGTCCTATTCTCCTCCTGCCCCAAGATAGGACCACTGAGCCCCAGTGGGATGAGTTCTGGGATGGGCTGGGGGAGAGTACAGACAGACCCCCACACACACACACTTCTCCATCCAGGAGGGGTTTGAGCCCATCTGTGCACCCACCAGCATAACCCCAGGTCACTGGGGACTGAGAAAGCCCATCTGAGCCTCCACCTTTCCATGGGACATCCTCCTCATGCTGACCCCATCACCATGCTGACCTTTATGCCATGACCAATGTCATCCAGGATGCTAAAGTTGAGGGGTTTCCTGTAGTAGGGCTCCAGGCAGGGTGGGCTGGGAGGTGACATGATCTTCTCGTGGGCTGGAAACCTCTTGCTGATGGTCAATGACCCAATCTCCCGTCGAGAAACTTTCTCCTTGTGCATGTCAATCCTCTGTGGAGATGGCATTATCACCACCATCCCCTCCTGGGTTCTCCCCGCCTCTGCTGCCCCCTCCAAGTCCCACCAGCCCTTCACAGACCTCCCCACATCTCCCTCTCCCTGCCTATAAAATAAGCCAGAGATCAGGCCTAATTCAAGCTTCAGCCTGATCCTGCTGGCCTGTGTGGAGCCCCATAGAAGTCATGGGGTCAGAACCAGCTATTCTACATCTCATTGAGGCAAGCAATGCCATTGATGCCACCATATCCACCTGCAGTGGATTTGGCCTTTCCTAAAACGGAAGAGCAAAGGCATTAGACAATGGTGAGGAATTTGCAAGTCTCGGCCACCTTCCTGCTGCTTCCAGAGTGACTGCCAGTTCCCTTCCATGGCAGTAAAAGCTCCAGGCAACTTTCAAGTGTCAGGAAGAAGGTGGGTGGTTGCAGAGCTCTGCACCAGTGTCCTCAGGCTCCAAGAGGATAACACCAGTTTCCCTTGAGGGGAGAAAGCAGGTAAAGCAACACGACTGCTTCACGCTGCAGGTGGCTTTACAGGTGGCTCCCATGGTTCCCTTCACCATTACTTGCAAACACCCACACTGAGACAGTGCCTGCTCCCTCCCACCCCCCAGAAGACAACGGTTTCTGAGCCCCAGGTGGACTTGTCTTTCAACAACCTGTTGGGTGACCACCATCACCCTGGGGTGAGAGATCAAGCACTGCAAGATACTCTGATGGGCTCTTGAAACCATGTTGAAGGATGGTCTCCAGTCCTTTTAAGCTGTCCAAATATTCTCAATAACAGTCCCTTTTTCTGGAGACCACCCCACCCTTTTCAGGGCCCAAATCTCACAGCAACATGGACCCAACATGAAATGTCAGTGGTTGGAGAACAGACACACCTGAGCCACGCAGCTGATGTTGGCCTCCACCTTCCGCAGCTCGGCCACCTGCAGGTCTAGCAGCTGAAGCAAAGTGGTGGCCAGGCTGCTGACCTGGTACGCTACACTGGCCAGGGACTGGGTGCTAAATGCCATTGTCTCCTCCAGCGCCTTCTGCTTATCACTCGCCTGGAGGGCAAAACACACCTGGTGAGCCAGCTGATACCACCACGTCACATTCACCCCCCTGCCACCATCTGCATGCTGGGGTCATATGGGAGTGAAGATGCTTCTTCTTTCCAAATGCATCACAGTTCCTCCAGCTCAGCCAGCAGGACTCAAACACCAGACAGTCAGCAGTGCTCAACTTTTCTGGCACTGAGATGACGGTGACTCCTCCCTGGACAGGGACAGCACCGTCCTGGTGCAGTGGCACAATGCAGGGTTCTGCCATGCGTGAGTGATGCCACCAAGAGAGGATCCTTTAAAGCACAAGGGGACCCCATTGTCAAGACACTCTCCTCAGCACACAGGGCCAAAGCAACCCTTTTCCCTTCTACTGTATCCCAAAAGCCCCTGCACCACCTTTCCTTCAGCTGGTCACAAGGGTATCAAGGCAGGGAGGAGGAGGAGGGAAGCCGATGGCAGCAGAGCTTTGTGCCCACTCTACATCAAGACATGTGGTGGGGACGAGCCCTATGCAGATACCCAGCTTGCCTCTGTCCTGTGAGGAGACACCTCCACAACCCCAGGGACAGCTTGAGCTGGTGTTCATGGTCCCCTCCCTGGTTATCTCTGATGGCAAAAACCCTTGGAGGACTTTCCCTTTGTCCCAGTCCTAATTCTGAGAGCTGAGCAGAGAAGCATCTGTGGAGCATTACGAGAAACCAAAGCACAAGATAAACCCTGAGAGCTTTCACCGCTGGGTAGGAAGTGAGTGGAGAGGCTTGAGCTGCCATCACCAAGAGTCTTCACCATCACACCACCCTTCCCACCCCCCACCCTCATCCACAAGTACCACCATCTCAATAAGAAGCTTGATAAGGCTCCTAGCTGACTCCGACATCACAGTTCACCCCATGTTGTCCCTCAACGCCCTCACCTGCACATAGTTGCTCTCGCAGTAGTCAGCGACCTGGTGGAGATTGCAGTGGTTGTCGCGCAGGACCTGCCTGGCTGCGGGGATGTCACACTGCTGCAGCTGCTGCAGCTCCGACATGGTGCTGAGCTCGAGCGCCCACTTCCTCCCCAGCCTCCTCGGCGCCGGGTTTTGAAGCTCGCAGCACTGCTGACGCAGGGCCTGCGGGTCCCTCAATGTCCCAGCCCCCACAGGGATGCCCCACAGGCATATGACCTCTCCAGCCATCTTCAGGCATTGGCGCTGGGAAAGCCAGGGAGACGCAGGGGAACACCAGGAGAGGAAGCGAGTGTTTCCCCAGCTCTACTCGCCTGTGGGGAGGTGGGCTAGAAGGGGAGCCCTGTGTCACAGTTGACAGCCATCCCACTGGAGCAGTGGACAAGAGTGGCCTGCAGGCACTTCCCCAGGGCCTCCTGAGCTCTGTTCACAGCCTCAGCAATTTTGCATGGGACAGATGGCAGCAAAACACCCATACTGAGCCCACAGACCCATGAGTGCTTGCCTCCCTCCTCACATATGAGTACAAGGATGAGGGAAATGATGAATTTCCTCCAGCACTGGCTCTGCTTCTCACACCCTCAAGGGCCAAGAGCTACCCAAGTTTCTCCCTAACCCCTCATGGTTTTCTTGCCCCAGCTCCCCTCCTCTTCATCCCTTCTGAAACAGGTGACGCCTGCTCCAACATGCACAGGGGATGTTCCCATTACTCCATGTCTGCCAGGCAGGTCAGGATCTAACTGCCACACAGACTCAGACATCCACAGTTGGAATCAGGGGCTTTACAAGTACCTTAGCCATCAGCTTCGCAAAGCACTTCCCCTCCCTTCCCCTCCCCTCCCCTCCCCTCCCCTCCCCTCCCCTCCCTCCCTTCCCTTCCCTTCCCTTCCCTTCCCTTCCCTTCCCTTCCCTTCCCTTCCCTTCCCTTCCCTTCCCTTCCCTCACCCTCTCCCAACCCTCCCCTGCAGCCCTACCACTGATTACCCTGGGCTTTGAGGCTAATACTCAACACCTGACCAGCTTATTTGCCTGAGTCTATTATCAGCTTAAGGACCAAAGACATCTGCTCCCTGCTACTGGCTGGGAGATACAAAGGAGTCTTCAAGCCCACAGCAGGACAGTGAGGGTGCAAAGGACGGCATCTTGTCGGCACATATGGGTTTCTGAACAGCTCCACCACTGAGAGGGGGCAGCTCCTCGTCCCTGTAGGTAAGTGGCTTTGCTTCCTCCAGGTACAAACACTATTGTAGGCACCTCTATCTTCATGAGTTGGCAGTTCCTCAGAAAACCTGCAAAGCTGCTCCTGCCCAAGCAAAGGACGCACTAGATAAATCTAGTTTGCATTTATGCTGCTCTGCTTGTTCAGGAGGCACTGAGAAATTTGATGCATTCCCATCTGTGTCCTCCTAAGGCGCTGCTAATCCAACAGCCCTAGTTTTTCTCTGGGCTCAGCTGGCCCCACTGAACTAGTCTCCTCATGCTGTTGGGAAACAGCCTCTGTGGTAGGCAAAAACCTCTTTAAGAACTAGGCTAGATCCTCCTCAGCTGCCCTCAAACTGCACCTTTTGCTTGATTTGTCTAGTGAGAACAAGCAAACAAAAATCTGCCTACTGCAGATGTTAATACAAAGTGTTTTGAAATGTGTGTTGTGTTTTCTGTTTTGTTTTGTTGTGCTTCTAAAGCTTCAGCCCCTCTCTCAACATGAGAGTAGTTGAGATGTTACCAGCATTTGCAATAGTGTTACGGCCAAAGTAATAGTCCTAATGTGCCCTAGGCGAAGCCCATCTATAATTTAAGCAAATGCCATTTATGTGTGGTTACAGGGCAAAATGGCTCAGGATATGACAGAGAAGGAACTGTTGAAGATGGAACTGGATCAGCTGAAAAAGGAGGTGAAGAATGAGAGGCAAATGGTGAGTATTTCATCCAAAATGGAAATGGGCTTTCCCTGGGGTAATGTTCTGACCTGATTGTGCTATGAAAGGAAAACAAACCACAACCCCCTAAAATTAAACCTCATATACAGGCACAAGCATGTGAGTTCAAACCTATTGCCTCAAGACAAGCTTCCTCTTGGGGTTTAGCCTCATGTCTCACAGTCCTGTAGCTGCAGCCCCATGGGGATGTTCTTGGGGATACCACAGCCATGGGTAGCTCCACAGTTCTCCTCTCCCAAAGGAGCAACTGGGTTTGTAGGCAGATGACGAGCAAGAGTACAGGTCTGCAGTGAGGGCTTGTTCCTGTAACCCATGTGGGGCATCTCCTTCCTTCCTTGCAGGTCTCCAAGACCGGCAAAGAGATCAAGGAGTACGTCGAATCCATGGCAGGAGAGGACCCACTGTTGAAAGGTGTCCCTGAGGACAAGAACCCATTTAAGGAAAAGGGTGGCTGTACAATAAGCTGACACCCTTTCTCCTCCCTCCCTGCCCTGGCCAGGAACTGGGCTGTTTCATGCAGGAGGCAAGACTGTAAGAAACCTGCTTTTCCTGTAGTCTGACCTTGGCACTGGGGAGTCCTGAACCAATATATAGTTGCATCTAAAGTAGCAAAAAAAAAAAAAAAAAAAAAGAGAGAGAGAGAAAGAGGGGAAAAAAAAAAAAAAAAAGAAAGAGGAAAAAAAAAAGCTATCCCCTCCCCCCCAACACCGGAGATGAGGTTCAGCAGTCAGAGCAGAGTGTGTTTTTATGCTCATGTAACTGATTTACATTTGGTTTCCGCCAAGCAAAACTTCTGTATTTTTAGCAGGCAGCAGCAAACTGGGCTTTAATGAAACCGTAGGGCTGTTCCTTGTCTCAGACTTCTCCAAGCAGACCAACACCAGTATAGGCTCCAAAGCCCCGAGCTGAGCCCCTCTCTTCCCACTCACTGCAGAAGAATGCTCCCAGTGGGATCTCACTTGAGTTATTACCCTGTTTCCCCATCTGGCACAGCCAGACAATATACTGTTGCTAGTTTGAGGCTTCCAGAGGTCTGAAGCTTTATTCTCTTTAGTACGATGTATACCCCCAGCCCATTAATGCTAGCGCCCCTACAGACCACAGCTCATACCCACAATGCATCTAGAGCCATGGGATGGTCAGAGTATGTCTGCGGACTTCAACCAACATATTGTGAGACACAGGAAGGTGCAAGGCTCCAGGCAGCTTGTTCAAAAGCTTAACCCTGCCTCTTGGTCTTGCTTCCTCCCTGGAAAACCCTCCAGCAGCCACAGGAGAGCAAGCTGTCAGGGCCTTCCTGCAGCTATGGCAGCTCCACACACTGCCTTGGCTTTACCATCTGCTCTCCTCTGCTGCTGAGGCTGTGCTGTGGGCAAGTGGGGAGGATGGACCAATTCCATACAGGTAGTGGTGCTGCAAAGTCTTGTCCCCCAATGTCTCGGTGGCAGGGATGACTTGGAGCTGGCAGCCCAGACAGCCTCTGCTCAGAGATGGTGCATGCACCAGGTCAGACTTAAAACACAGCAATGATAATTGCTACAAATTGAAGGCAGGAACAAACCTCTCCCACCACATGGGACGTCGCTGTTTGGGAAGAGTTGATAGCGCAGAATTGTATAGCCTTTGTCTCTCATGATGCTGGTGGAGAAAGCAGCCACGGATGGGGCTCCAGAAGAGCATGGAGGTGGGCTTGGGACGACTTTAAATGCTGCACCCACAGGGAAATCGCTCCTGAACCCATCTGGAGCTGCGGTGCTTCCCTGGCCGCTGGGCCACTGCTGGCCATGCTTGGCGCTTCCCTGCAGGAGGCCGTGGGACTGGAGGGCCTCAGCCACCCAGAGCCTGCCCCCACCTGAGCGCAGCGCAGAGGGAACCCACACAGATCCTCCGCGTCTGGTGTTGTGTACCTGCCTAGCCACGAGTACCTGAATCAATAAAGGTTTTGTTCTTTCTCTTGCCTACACTAAATAAACCCACTCCCTGTGCATTCGAAGCACAGCCTCTGTCTCTTCTGTCTGGACAGGACGAGCTCGGAACTGCTCAAACCTAGCGACGAGCACCCTCAGGCATCCCCCTGCTCTATGAAGACCAGACAAAATAATAAATAAATAAATAGTAAATAAATAAATAAAGGCAGCTCCTGTGCCAGAACAGAGCTTTGCTGCCCGTCCCTGCCGCTAATCCCTGCGGAGGCCTCAGGCGGCCCCGGGCCGGGTTAATCCCGGCTGAGCCCCCTGGGCCCTGCGGCAGCGCCAGCTCGCCCCGGCCCGCCCTCCGCGGCGGGCTGATCCACGCGCTGCCCCCCGGGGGGGGGGGGGTAGGGAGCGTGTCTCTACTGTCGACCCCACGCAGGGGCCGCAGCTGGACTCCCTCCCCTCCCCTCCCCCCCCGCCGCCAGGATTTATGGTGCCGCCCGGGGAAGCGCTCCGCAGCCCGCCTTAGGGAACCCCCCGAGGCGGGGGCGCCGCCAGCCAATAGCAGCGCGGGGAGGTGGCTGCGTCACGCCACGCGCGCGACCTGCGCCAGCAGCCGAGCAGCGCCCTCCTCAGCCCCGCCCTGTCTGTGCGCGCGCGCATGCGCTCCTGAGCGCCGGCGCCCCCGCACGAAATGGAGGCGTGCGGGTGCCCGGCTCCAGGGGAGGACGGGAGGGCTTTCGGGGCAGGCCCGGTGCCGGCGCTCCCGCCCCGCTTCGCGACCGCCTCCCGCTGAATTATCGGGACGGCGGAGACAAAAATGGCACGAGGTCCCACCGAGATTTGAACTCGGATCGCTGGATTCAAAGTCCAGAGTGCTAACCATTACACCATGGGACCGCTACAGAGCCCCTTGGCCGCTGCGTCTTGACTCTCGTCCCCGCCGCTCCGGGTGCTCGCTCGGGCCTCGCCTCCGCGGCCGGCCCGGGGCCTCCTTCGGGGGCCGCCGGCGCCGCTCCGCTGCCCCGGGAGGGGGCCGGGGTTCCGCAGCGCCGCCAAACCCGACGAAACCTGCGGGCTGGTGGCGCCGGTGCCCGCGGCAGCCGCCGTGGCCCGAAACGAAGGGGAGGGGGGCATTGGGCTTTGCGAAGGGCCTGAGCCCCGTGCCCAGCGCCCCGCAGAGGTTCCAGGAGAGGATCCCGCACGCTCCGACAAACCCCGGTCGTGCAACAGACCGGGGCTGCGCCCCGCCGCCCGTGAAGAACAGGCGGCAACCTCCGAGGTTTCCCTGGGCGCTGCTGCTGCCGCCCACACGCGCATCCTCGGCCACCCGTTTCCCCACCAGCACCTTGGTTTCTTCCTTCCCCACGACTCGATGAAAAACACACAGGAGCAGTGTTAGGTTGGTTTGTTTGTTTGTTGTCTTCTTTATTAAAATAAAAAATAAAAACAACCAAAAAACCGGAGTAAAGCGGTTTGTGGCAAAACCTCGCTGGAAGAGAAATGGAGCCCATAATTCCAACTCCACATCCAAACCAACAAAACGCCTCACACCAGAGTACAAGGGTAGAACACGAATTAGATGAGGCAAGTAGGAGAGAAAGGGGGAAGGTGGAAAGAAATGTTCAGCTGAAGGGAGGAAAACCAGTATCATTACAATGAAGTACAAACTTTTTTTGAAGAATAGTTCGAAATTGCATTGGAGCAGCTGCTGGAAAGAGACATGGCTTTGCTCAGTGGGTTGATGAGCACTTTTGGATGCACCTGTCCCATGGACAAAGCGCTGCTGGATGCTCCTGGTGTCAGGACGTGGAGTAAAACAGGACCTCATATTTGGCTCCATTGCAATTCATTGCATTGCTTTGCACGGCTGATGTGCTGCTCAGGACACCCCTTGCACTGCCATCAACCTCCACCAAAAGAGATGCAGAAACACATGGCCACTGGGAAAAAAAACACTGACCACGATTTCTCTAGCATCTCCTACCCATGCAAGATGGGGTTCAGCCCCACTACACTGGGGAACTGAGGAGGATGGAAGTTCTACTGCTGACAGAAGTAAATATCAAAGTTCAAAAGGAAAAGTAATGGAAGACTGAGCATTAAAAAAAAAAATCAGTCACAACTAAACAGTTTGGACTGCTGAGGTCTGGAGCTTTTTCAACTAACGACAACTTTAAAGTGAAACGAAAGCCCATAAATTCTATTTTTAAAGAACATTTTTCTTTGGAAAAAAGAGTTTTTTGTTTTGTTTTGTGTTTTGTGTTTTTTTTGTGTGTGTGTGTGGTTTTTTTTGTTTTTTTTTTTTTTTTCCCTACACTACAGCATGTGGAGTTGCCACTATCTAGTTTTAATCTATTGTTGCTAAGAGGTAGATAAACAAAAATGACTTGGTTATATATAAGGTCATGCCCCTGTGTTTGACATGCAGTGAAGCTGGCAAACTCCACAGGCACCAGCCATTTGGGGCTTTCAAGAAACTCTAGGGTTTCATCTGGGGTTTTGCCTCACCTGGAGTGACCCTAAAATTTGTCAGTTTTCAATTCAGCCTAACAGAGCTGGTTAAAGAAGCAATGTTGGGGGGGGGGGGCAGTACGTGTCATGTTTTAGGGCCAGATTTCCTCCTGAAGTCAACAAATCTGATCTCATAATGAATCCAGATACATTTCAAATGAAACAATATGCTTAATTGCTTGGTAACGAACACTTAAACACATTACGGTGATTTTGACAGTTAGCTTCTGCACTGATTCCAGCCAATCCCACCAGTTTTCTGGGACAATCCACGAACAGCAACAGGAGCTGGATGCACCCAGTGCTGCTCTCCACCTCCTCCAGGATACGGCACCTGCTGTGCTCCTGTGCTGCCAGCAGCTCTCAGTGAGCCCTTCCCCACTCCATGCTGCTGCATCCCTATGGAAAACATTTACCAACTATGTCCTGCTGGACTTAGTGTTGCTTTTCAAAAACATTTACCCAAACCGGTCAAAAAATGGCTTCAATTCTGTCATACAGCTGACTCTGGGGTCTTAATTTGTTGTTTTTTGTTTGTTTGTTTGTTTGTTTGCTTTGTTTTAGCAAAAAAAAATTCCTTTAATCTTTAGGTCATGTTGATACTTTGCTAATGCAGCTCACAAATACTTTCTACAGTTCATAATCCACTGCTCTGCCACAATAGATAGCAGGGACAGGCTGCCACTGCAGACCAGGCAAAGCATCCTGGCATGCCCTGCCACAACTCGGAGAGGTATTTGTCTTCAAGAAAATTAAAAAAAAAAAAAATCATTAAGGTACAGTAAAGCAGCAGGGTTCAAATGCACACTAAAGTCAGCAATGACTTTCAAGGAGTCCAATTTACCACCCATCCTGACCAGCAACTCTCCCAAACCAATGGTCCCAGGAGCCTTCCTCATAAGATCTCTTTCCTCTTCTATACTGCAACGCTCCCTAACTGTGGAGTGGAAGGACAGGGTACCAAACCTGCCTCTCCACTACCTGGAAGGATGTGTCTTCTGATGTGTTTGAAGACTGTACCAAGGCAGTTCCCATGTGGCAGTGGTGCCAGACCCTCCCTGTGTGTCAATTGGGTCAGCCTTGAGACAGGTCACAGGTGTACATTTCCAGCTTGCATCTGCATGTTCTCCGAAAATCGCAATTTAAGAGCCTCTGGGTGGTTTTGCTCTGCTCCAGATCTTACCCATAATCACAAATTATTAAAAACAAACAAACAAACAAAAAATAAACACCAAAACTAGTAAGAAAGGCTTATTCAAGGCTGAGTTGGGATTCATTTTTCCCTCCCTACACATCATTGATGTGCATCTCCTACGTGCATCTCCTACACACTGTACCACAGCAGCTAACTCCTTCAAGAGAGTTTTGCAACTTTAGATCCTCATTTTGCCTAACAATAATTATCCTGTTGTGGTGCTCTGCTCCCAGTGAGCTGCTGCACAGGTCTGCCCATCTGACATCCCGAATTCATTTGAGCCTTGAACATGTTTATTTGCAAGCACCTGCTTGGAGGCAGTTTCCTAAGCACTGGGCACTTTTCCACCCACTTTCGACAGTCAGGCTTAATTGAAATGGAATTGAAACTTCCATGCACTAATTCACGCTGCCAGTCACCATGCCCTTCTCTCATAGCAAATCTGTGTTCTTCACCTCCAGCAAAGCCCAGGGCCAGGCTGGGCACAGCACATCCCAGCCATTTGCTCTGCCCGAGCTGCCTTCAGAACCAAGCACATAATTAAGATGTTTAAATATTCTTATGCCCTCTCAGGGACCTGCACTTTTCACAGGCTCACGCTGATTTCATCCAAACAAAACAAAAGCCACAATGGGGGAAAGAAAGAAAAAAAAAATCCCACACATCCCAAAATCTCAGTTACTATTTTTTGGGGGGGGAAAATAAAAATAAAAAATAAAAAAAGTTCCAAAAATATTAAAAGCCTTTTCTGTGAACCACCAGGGGACAGATAGGGAAGAACTACATTAAAAACAAAGAAATTAAATTTACATCTTCAACTGTTTTACAACAAGTCTGCATTTCTGAACTATTTTTTTCAGAAGCTAGAAAACACAATATTTGGAGCTAGAAATTAAAAGAGAATTTTATTCTGGCACTGAGGAACTGACTAACTTATACTGATTTTTCTTTCCCCCACTCAAAACTTAAAACACAACCAAAATGTAATGCCCAGGAAACATGACGTGTATGTTAGAAGCAGTTTCTTTTCAGTATTTACAATGGATTTTCATCTTTTTTGACTCTGTAAAACTTTTTCAAGCCTGTCAGTGCAGTCAGACTGCAATCATGACTGCCAGGAGGGAGCATGGCTCAGTTGTTGCTGCTGAACCCCAACTCACTTCCCTACCTCAGTTGCACTTTGGGGATGAGAAAGTGGTCAGAACTTGGAAGAGAAAAACAAGTGTTGGGTTTTGTTGTTTGTTTGCTTGGCTTTTTTTTGTTGTTGTTGTTTGTTTTCTCTTTTTCCCTAGCTGAATGACAAAACAAGATTATGATAGCATTAAAATGAGATGAACCCCCAAAAATCCACATAGCACCATGGTTGATAGTCCTGGCAACAATATTTTGCCTAGTATATGGAACTGAGGATCACAAAGTGCTTCAGAGACATTAATTTGTTAATCCTCACAACGTGCCTGTGAGGTAGGTAAGAAGTATTACTCCCACTGGGGAGAAACTGATGCACAGAGATTTATTTATTTGCTTTCTTTCTGTTTTGCCCTACGACCTCAGAGCCAGCCAGTGGCACAGCTGGGAAACAAACTCCCTGCTCTACCCATGCACCGCTTCCTGCCTGAAGCTCCCACCCTGGCACAATCTGATGAGCCCCAGGACAGCAACCAGAAACTCCCCCTCTCCTATCCCAGAGGCTCCATACATGCCTGCCCCTGCTTCAGATTAAAAACTTTCTAATCTGACAGGAAAGGACAATTTCAAGAAACAAACTGCCCTGCCATGCACCCACCCCTTCCAGCACCTAGGATGAGCAGGGCTGGGTTTGCTACCTCCTGGGGGGCGGGGGGGGAAGGGAGGGGAGTGGGGAAGAGGATAAAATGAGGCAGAAAAAAATCTTATAGTACAAAAGTGAGGCAGCAGCTCAGGAGAGGAGCAATTGGTGCTGCTCACCACCCTGGTCCTCAGTGAAGATGAAGCCACAAGCAAGCATCTGCCCTGGGTCCCTGCTGTGTCCTAGTCTGGCTTCATCAGATGTAGCAGACAGTGGATGTGGGTTGATTTTCTTGCTATTGAAGGGCTCCTATGGGAGGTTCCCTCCAGATTGCCTATTTTTCCAGTGCAAAGAGAGTAGCTGTCAGGAAGGAGGTACTGAAGAGGAGTTATCCTCCTTTCTGCTTGCTTTCAGGTTTTACTAGGGATTTGTTTCCTGCTTTTCACTCCAAGCCTAATTCAAAGCTTGCTTGCATCTCCTTCCCCTGGCCCTCATGACTAGTCTGGATGGGGATCCTGGTTTATGCTGGTTTAGCTGTTCCCAGCTCAGGTTGGCTCTGGAGAAATACAGAGGTGCTTAGAGGTATCTTCCTTACTGCGAATAACTTTATAAAGCAAAGTTGCTTTCCAGAAGTCCTGTTGAACTCAATGGGATGTCAGTAGGAATTTAAGCAGGTATTTAAGTGCTTCCCCAACCTGGGGAGAAGAGAAACGGCCAGCAGCAGACTTGCCTTTTCCCGGCAACTAGGTCTGCCTTATGAAACCACAGCTGATGCTGCCTTCCCTCAGGGAAACAATGATATTCCCAAAAGAACCACTCACTCTTATGTGACAGCACCAGTGATGTCTTAGCTGCCACAAAGACAGCCTCAGGCAATGGTGGCAAAGGGATCAGCCTTGAGGTGTCTTTGTGCCTGCAGCCCTTTGCTGGTGAAAAGCATCAAAGGTGTCCCTGAATCATCAGACTTCAGGTATGTGTCAAGATCTTCTCACTGCAACAATCTGATTATCAGTATTGTGGTTTTTTTTTCTTTTTTTTTTTTTCCCCTCAATGATAGTTCGCACCAGTTATCAAAAACACTTGCCGTTGGAAAATACAAATATAATCACCGATGTCTGAATGCACTGATTTATGCAAGGCTGTAAAAAGTAGAGAGCCAGAGATTTAAATAAGAAACCGTTTTTCCTAGGACAAATGCCAGTCTCTGGAAGAGAAGGAAAAACAGGCAGAAGCACCTTCTTGTGGAGGGGTACCAGTGAAGGTGCTGCACAGGTGGGCAGGGGTTTCCTTCTGCTGCCACTGCCTAGCTTTGCTCCTTTGTTCCCATCTCTTTGGAAAAGGGCCAGCACTTCTCCATCACTACAGGTGAGCCTGATCCTGTGTTCCTCATGCACCCAAAATTTCTGTGGGGTTTAGGAGCGGAAGAGAGGAGTGAGGCTGGGGAGCCAGCTGGCCATTTACAAATTGACTTTAACACCAACGATATATTTCCAATTAATACTCAAGGAAGGGTTGTTTTCCTGCAGGTATAATGAAAAAATAACAAGATGGGACTTTTTTTCTTTTTTTCTTTTTTTTTTTTTTTTTAAAAGAAAAAAAGCACATGAACCTCCTCAAGCAGACAGGGAGAGGTTCACACCTATCATTCATTAGGGTTGTTCACTTTTTCTCTCTCCTTAGCGTGTGTTTGTATAAAAAAGGTAGCTCCCATTTATTTCTGTTGTTCTCTTTTTTTTTTTTTTGATTGATTATCCTCAGTAAAACTGAGGTAAATCTCTGTAAAATATTTAACAGCATCATAGTGGAGAAGATGGTTTGAGACTTCCTCTGCGTCAACACAGAAACCAATTTGTTCGCATTTTGAAAGATACGGCTTACAACTGTTTGTAAAATTGCCCAAGCTGGCACAGTTTAAATATCAGCAAACCCCATGTACCCCACTTAGCATAGCCAGCTTGATGCCTAGGAATGGTGCTTGATGGTAAGTCTATCCTCATATTGCCTTTAGTAAAAGATTTCTGATTCCAGGCGCTTTAACAATTTGGTTTCCTGATGGAGTTGGATGGACAAAGGCCTTTCATCCAGTGGCTTTTTCATTTGTTTTTATATTGAGGAAAAAAAAAAAAAAAAGTCTTTCCAACTGAAAAAGTTGGTGGGCTCCAATTTGTCCAAGTTCTCAAAGAGTCGCGACATCCGACAGCTCTTGTGTCATGCTAAAATTCATTTCTGGCTTTAAAAGGCCAAAATAATATGCTGCTGCCATCTTTTCCACTATGTCTGAAGTTTCTGTCGTTCTCCATAGAGAGCTCATAACACTTGGTTACCTGCCCATAACTCCTGGCTCATAAGAAATTATGAAACTTAACTTCTCTTTTCATTAAAAAAATAAAATATTCAAGACTATCAGCTTTTATATAAAATATCAGCAAGCCCACCCCCCCAAAAAAAATTGCTGAGGTAACTTCATACCTTGAGGTAGCTTTTTTTTTTCCCCTCTTATTTTTTTTTTCTTGTTGCTCAAACACACAGCAATATCTGGCCTTCCTCTACACCTTGTTGTTGTTGCAATGTCTAAAAGGACAGTAACTGCTGCCGTGTTCCCTTATCAATAAACCACCCGCCTTCCTGATGCTGCATGATCCAAATTCAAAGCCAGTTCTCGCTTTGGAGGATGCACCCAGGAAAACGTCTGCTCAGATGGGAGGTCTGGTCTCCATTTCAGAAAGAAATGGTAAAAGCATCAGTGCAAGGTTTATTTCCAATTCCCTCTTTTTAAGCCTTGAATCAGCTCACCCAAGGCCACTCCCAGGTCTCCTCCTGCCTCCTGGGGTGCCTGCTTTGCCCCTCTCCGCACAGCACACTGCAGGCTCCAGGCTGCGCCACCTTCCCCCAGAGCCAGAAATAATTTTGCTTTTCTAACCCCCACCCCAATTTGAAGGAAAACTAGCATCAACCAACATTTGGGCTGGATTACAGAGAAACATGGCACAGGCTTTAACTGGCATGCAGCTCCCCCTGCTCCAGTCAGAACCACGGCCAGGGGCTGCAAAGGACCAGGGCCCCTCTGCCACAGCAAGGAATGCACACCAAGCCCTGCCCCAGCCCCTGTGTAGAGACAAGACCTTACACCGCATGGAAGAGGCAATCACAGCAGTTACTGTCCCTTCCAAATACTCAGAATTAAAAACAAACCATTAAAATATATCTAAAATATAAAATCTTCATAAGAGTGACGGGAATCAGTAACCATCTTACATGTGTTTGACGTATATATTTGGTACTGTCTCATGAGAACAGTTATTCTTACCACAGAAAGAAGGGTGGTGGTGGTTGCGTTGTTTTGTTTTTGAAATAAGGAAAAAAAAAATCTTTTAATGTGCCACATTTCAAGAATATTTTTCTCCACCTAGAGAGATTTGGGTGGAGGGGAACATCAAATAACCCCAGGAGAGTTAAAACAAACTTGCCTATCCCAAGTTTGTTAACAATATTCCCCTTGTTTTTTTGTTGTTGTTTTTTAAAGCAAAACCAAAAAAGTTGTGTTGCCACACACCCACCTGTGGCTGAGCCCTAGAGACACCAGCAGGATTTCAGGGCACAAGTCTCTTGCTCCAGGTAGGGAAACTGAGGCTGAGTTCACATCCCCAGCCACCTGCAGAGGACTTTGCAAAGGAGCTGCTGCCCCTCCTTGCGCCAAATGCCAGAGATGTCGGGGCAAAAGCATGCCCTGGTTCAGCAGCAAAACTGGACTGAAGAGCCAAGTCTGCCAAGGCTCTTTTTCAATGCCTGATATATCCAGAGCCTTAAATATCTGTCCTCTTTTACACCCCCAAATCCCTTTGGCTTTCTCCTGAACTCCAGAACTGCTCTGCATGCATTTAGTTCACATAATCTGATTACTAAAGAGATGCAGATTAATTCATACTTCCTACCAAGCAGGGTTTTTTTTTTTTTTTTTTTTTTTTTTTTTTTTGTTTTGCTTTTGTTATTGTTGTTTTATTGCTTTTGCTTGAAGGAAGGAGGGAAAACCAAAGCACTTCCCTCACCCCTTCCCTTCCCCATGCAATTTGCGTCATCTCTGGAACAGGTTGGCACCTACACAGCTAAGATCACTGAGAAAATGGTCACTGCTATAGCTGTACATGCCACTTCTGCTATTATTTCAAAGGCTTCAAATGAAACTTCTTTAAAGTAAACTAACCTAAAATGAAAACAAACATTAAAACAAATGAAACAAATAGTTATCCTGGAAAATAGAGGTGCTGTCCTGGCTTCTAAGGCACTGCACACAGCACAGGTGAGAGGGAACTTCTCCAGCTTGCCCTTGGGTGTTCCTAAGATTCAATAGGTTCAGAGCTCCCAAGGGATCCTAATCCATTTGGCACTCAGCCTTTTTTTTTTTTTTTTTTTTTAATATCCCCCCACGCAATGGAACTTGTTACCAAAAGGAGTTGGTGAGTTTGCTATGGTTTCTTAAAAAAAAAAAAATAATAATCAAATGCTCCAAAAGGTTTAATAGCTCTCTGGAAATATCCATCAGCTATGCTGCCAAGGCAGGAGAGGGAGGGAGGTACAGGGAGATTCAACTGCAGGGAAGCCCTGGTGGGAGCCAGAGATGGATGGGGTGGTACTTCCAAAAGCTACTTAAATGAGAAGGCAAATATTGCACCCAGAAGAGGGGCTGAGTGCTGTGGCAGTTGCAGGTTTGCTGCACTGCCCATCCTTGGCACCCTGCAGTGCTCCAGCCTCAGCAGCACAGCTGGTTCTCCCAGTGCACCGCAGCACCTCTCAGTTCATTTAAGTAGCTGTTCTGGCATGGGGACCTAAAAATGGATCAAATTACGTGGTCTGATTCTTAACCTAGCCCTCTAACTTGGAAACCAAACTGCCTTTTAATGTCAACCAGTCATTGAAAAAATTGCATCTGTCTATGGTAACTGATTCCCAGCCACTCTTAAGCCCAGCATTGGCTTGTTCCACTTTTCACATTGGTGTCATTGCTGCTCTTATTTCCTCCTTGCTTGCAGCTGGCCGCTCTGTCCCTTCTGATGTTGCTGTTTCACCTGGGCCAGAATGTCTCTGATCTTGCGCTGTGCCATCTGTGGACAAGAAGAGCAAAGAGGAGAACTGGGGCCCCTGTGCTAGTGGTGTCAGAGTACCACTCCCTAGCTCTCCCCCTGCCCAGCAGGTCCTGTTAAACTGCAGGGAAATGGCACTGCATGTCACGACAGATGTTGATGTAGGCAGCACAGGTAAGTCTGTCACTGGAAAAGTTCAGGACATTTTTTCATCCAACAATGGCTGCAAAGTGGGATGGGAAAGAGGAATCTCTGTCACTGGTTAGTTTCAAGACCATGTGAGATCAAATACTGGCAGGAATTGTTCATGGTGGCACGGATGGGCTAGGTAACTCCTGGAGGTCTCTTCCTCTCCTATTTTACTATGGTTTTCTCAAAAAGTTGATTTTGGGACATCACACTCTCTGAATGCATGTACACATAAGCCCACAGTTAAGTGCAGAAAAAACTTCTATAGGAGGACATACAGGTGAACACTATCCCTTATGAGCCATTAGGGGATCTACCAGCACTGAGCTGCCAGGACCATACCTGGCTGGCATAGAAGTGCCCAATGATCTTCACAATGACTTGCTCGTTCTCATCAGGGGTCTGATCCCGTGGTACCACCACCTCTGCTGCTGTCAGGTTCTGCAGCTCATTGACCTGCACGGAAGCATAGAGACCAACCTGTTGCATGGTGTGGGAAGAACATTCATGTCCCCCAAGCCATCCCACTGAGAAATCTGTCACTGGGATTCCCCTGGGTGCCAGCACAAAGTGGGTGTGCTCTCAGAGACATCGCAACCCCACGATGCTCTCATCCCCTCCCAAATGTCACTTCTGCTTACAGTTTTGCCTCCTTTGCCAATGACCCTCCCCGCAGATGAGGCAGGGACCCGGATGTGTGTCTCCAGCTTTACTTCTTCCTTTGGTCCAAAAAAGTTTTCCTCCTTCAGCTTCCCATAAATCCTGCCTTGTGCCTGTAGAGGGGAAGGAATGAGGCATCAGGTGCAGCTTAAGATGTCCTATCCCCACATGCCCCCTCAGTTCACCCAGCTTGGCAGGTATCCATCCTGCGGACCAGGGACATATGCCAGATCGCAGTCAAATCCCAGTTCCTCAGGATTTTAAATCAGCTCAGCCCCCAGGAGGGCTGGTGCTGTGTTAAAAAAAGCCACAGTCCAGGGGAGCCTCAAAAGTGCACACTAAGAAGAGGTGGCCGTTCTGTTCCTCCCCATCCAGCTTTGCAGGGAAGGGGATAGTGGAGGAGGGCACTGGGAGACCCCTTCCCCCACCCCCCCTCCCAGCGATGGCAGCAAAGGGAGGGACCTTGAACTGAGCTTCTGGAGGGCCCGTGATGATGACCATGCGCACTTTGGAGTCCGGCGTCTCCGGGGGTGCAATCTGGAGGGGAGGAGAGAGACGGTCACCGCAGCAGGGAGTTGCACAGGCAGGATTATGGCCATGCCCTCCTCCCCTGCAGTGCAGGATTGGGCACCCAGACACATCACCTGGGCTTTTAAGGTGTTTTTCACCACCAGAAAGGCACCCACTTGGTGAGAGGTGCTGGCAGGACAGAGCTCCTTGACAGGGAGACACTACCTTAATAGAGGCACTTGCAAACCGGGAGAGCTGCTTGATGTGCTGGCCCTTCTTGCCAATGATCGCACCAACCGCCTGCGCAGGGATGAAGACATGCACCGTCTCTTGCTCCGGAGGCTGCAGGTACAGTGTTACTGCTCAGGCTCAGATGCCATCACAAGGATCTGGGCAGTAGAGGCCCCCCCACCTCTGCTAGCCCAAGTGACAGCTATGCCTCTCCTGATGGTGCTGGGTGAGTACTTTATCTGCTGTATTTGCAATAAGTTATAGGTCCAGATTCTGCACCCACACTGGACCTGACCCACCAGGTGACAGCAAAAGATGTTAAAGTCACAGCCCCATTCATTGCAAGGATCTTCCCAATGCAGAGGAGATCTCTGAGATGGAAACAAGAGCGATTTTAGCTGCCAGGTGTTCACCTACCATGAAGGAGCTGTACGGCGCGGCTCCAGAGACACTGCTAGGAGGAGGAGGTACTGCATTGGAGGAGGCAGGGAAGAGGCCAACAGCAGCCAGGTTAAGGCCAGGGATGAGGTGAGATTGCAGCTGAGGGTGAGAGGAGATAAATGTTCATTGCTTTTACCAAGGAATCCTCTTAGAGAGCACACATCAGATGAGAGGTAGGGCAGGAACCGTGCCCGGCAAAGCTGCCGTCCCTGAGCCAAGCTGCACTCACGCTCATGGCTGCTACATCGTTCTCGTAGGCTTCCCTCACTTTCTTCATGATCTCCTGCTCTGCTTTGCAGCAGTTCTCAATGGAGCCTTTCACCGTGATCGTCCTTTCAGGGTTGTACAGAGTCAGGTCCTGCAATCTGACGGGGGGGGTTAGTGTTACCCTGGTGAAGCAGCAGCACCATCTCCCTGCCATGCCTTCCCAGTAGTGTGTGTATCCTCCCTTCTTTCTCATGAAAGATTAGCTGCTATCATCACAGCAGGCACTACACAGGCAGCACCTGCCCTGGTGCCAGTCAGAGCAGGGATCAAAATAATGGTTTGCATTGGGAAATCCATCCAGCCTTCCCCAAAAACACAATTTAAGAGGAAAAAAAAACAATTTTCATTGGCTATAAAACCCAGCCAGCCCTGTGGGCCACTGCAGCACAGAGAGGAAGAAGAAGTGATTAAAGAAAACATAATACCAGGATTTTTCAAGACAGCTTTGGGAACCAAAGTACCCATGCCATAGGTTGGTTTCCCATGTGATGGACAGGCATCTTCACCTACTTTTATCCATCTCTTCCTCATCGTTCCCATCCACCCCACGCTGGAAAAGGCCTGCCCTGGTTTTCCCAAAGACAGCAAGGAGCCTTACGATGAGATGGTGATTTTTGTCTCTGTGTCCTGCTCCACTTTCTTCAAGTTTCGCCCTTCTTTGCCAATCAGGCGCCCCACAAAGTTGTTATGGGCCAAGATTTTCAGAGGCACTTCATCAGCTCTTGAGAGAGGAATGAAAAAGAAAAAAAAAAAAAAAAAAAGATTACTACTGCCCTACTGCCAGAAGAAGAGAGATTGACTACAAAGTGACAGGGTAAATTCATGTTTCCTTGCTCAAAGTACTCCAGCTCTCCCAAGGCATGGCTCCCACATGCAGTTTGGAGTGCCACACAGGTCCAGGTGTTAAGACAGTAATACAGCCCAGCAAAGAGCTGTGGATAGGATATGCATGCACAGAACGGAAGGGGGAAACCTTACGTCTTGGTGTCCTTTGCCTCCTTCTGCATGATCTCCAAAATCATTTTGCAGGCAGCAGAGCAGCCCTCAGGGGTGGAGTGGATGCTGATAGCTTTTTCTGCAGCTCCTGCATTCTCTTTTCGGTGCACATCAATCCTGCAAGCACAGGATCAATGCTGGGGTGGGACACAGCGGAGAGGCTCTGTGGTTTTCCAGCTGAGTTAGTGCTGGCTGCTCTACTCCCCCAGCATTGCTGCAGACTGCCCTAAGATCAAGCATTGTGTTATATGCACACAGGAGAGGCAAGGGGAGTTAATTCTGGGCTCAATACTTGACATGGACACCATAGCTATAAGTTCAAAACATAGAAATCCAAATAAAGCGGCAATATCTATTTATATTACTTAACAGGAGTCATTAAGTGGCAGAACAAGCATGTTCCTGGGAGATGGGATGCATTGTCCATTACTTCATGTCTTAGAAAAAGCCTTCCTTGGAGAAGAGCAATAGTCAACATAAGATTGTAGGCCAAATGCAGGCGAGTGAAGCTCAGCAGGCTTGTGCTAAACGAGACCAACTGAACTAGTGACTTCCCCACGCACTCCCTGCAGTTGCTCTGCTGCCCAGCACTGAGGAGCCTGTGGGCCCTGATCCAGACAGGGCTGTCCTGGCAAAGGGAGACACGTGGGGAACCAGAAGGCAGAGCTGAGGAACAGCAGGGGAATGTGGCTCTTGGACATACCACCTTGTACAGCAGGAGTGCCAGAGCATCCTCCCACAGCCCATGCTCCACAAAGAAATCCAGCCTCAAAAATCACTGCAGATCAGTCCACTAATTAAGGTGCAAACCAGCTCACGGGGGAAGGGGAGGAGTACAGACTCACTTGGACTGTGTCTGCTTGGTGATGTTCCTGATGGTGGCCCCTTCCTTGCCGATGATAGCACCCACATACTGTGTGGGCACCAGAAGACGGAGGGGAATGTCAACTGGCTGCTGTTTGACCGGTGCCCCTGCGGTGACAGGCGAACCCTGCCTGGGGGCACCACGTGTCCCAAACCCACCCCGCCGCCCATTCTCTGGTCCTTGCATGGACTGCTCATCAGGGATGTAGGAGACCTTCAGAGCATGGTTCTCCAACTGGTGCCCATTCAGCTTCATGATGGCTCTGGAAGACAAGCAAGGAGAGAAGGGGTTGGGGTGGTGGATGTCCCTCCCCAAGCAGCAGCGTATCAGCACCACCCAAAACAGGTCATACCCTCCCTGGCACCAAATGTCCATTGAGGAAGCATTGAGAATGGTGCATGGAAAAGCCATCAATGCCACAAAGACATGGAAGGACTTCACCCAGCCGGGATAGGGAAAAATGTTTTAAGGTGGCTCTCTCTGAGCACCCAACCCTGGGTCAGGGGACTAGAGTAATGGGTACAGGACAGAAAGGTGCAGGAAGTGATTTCCAGGTCTCCTCTGCCTTACAGGTTTTTTTGGTTTTTTTTTGGTCAACATTTCAAACCCATCTCCTACTGGCTGCAAGAACGATAAACTGTCGATAGATAGGGCTAGCAGCAAGAGCAAAGTGACTGCTCGTCACAGTTCTTCTGCACAGCTCTCCTTCTAACCTCCCAAGGTTTCTACAGAGACAATCCAAACTGCAAGTTTCCAGAAATTGCTCAGTGACTCAACTCGTGGTGGTAGTGCTAAGCAAAGCCCTGCAACTGGCTGAACAGAGACTAGTAGCCCCATCCCTGCAGCATGGGGGGGGGGGGAGGGGGGAGGGGGCTCCAGAGGAAAACACTTGATAAAGTGTATGCATCCACAAAAAAAAAAAAAAAAAAAAATCGCAGGGGACAAAGGCTGCAGACCTGAGAGCAAAACTACTCGCAATGAGCTTTTCTGCTACAGGCTTCCTAACGAGGGAAATCCAAAACATTTCCAAGTGCAAAGCACAGGGCCAGTGCAGACTGACATGGGACAGGACAAACTGGTTATGCATGGGAGCAATCCCTTTGCTGTGCTCCATGCACTCTGTGGTGCTGGACTCTGTCCCATGCTATTACAGAAAGTACAACTGAAGGGTGATTCTCCAGTGAAGCTTTGGTGCGGCCACACATACAACCACAGCAAGTTCATGGTGGCTACAGCTTTGACATTTGAAACATTATAGACCAGGCAGTGATTTGGAAGATGCTTTCATGGGATGACCACACACAACGTCCCTGGGGACTGTGGCGTGGCCACAGTGGCCACAATTGAGACATGCCCAACTCACTGACGTAAACCTTCCTGGATAAAAATCTATCAATTAGCTCCTCCTGGCTGTCCTCCAAGGAAAGTGCTGATTCCATCACTTTTACAGCTTTCCAGAGCCCTTCATCAGAGCAAGAGGAAAGTGAAATAAACACAGTGGTGAAAACCCAACTAATTTTCCATTTGCATTTAGTGTAAAGTCTGATCTTCCCCAGGCAGGATAAGGATTGGAGTTGTAAGTCTCCTAGTGACACAACCATTAGCCAGAGAGGACGTGTGTTGCCTCACACCCAAGAACCTAACAGTTTCTATGATATTTGGCCTCAGTATTACTATTTTCTGGAGCCACAATTCCTTAGATCATTTGAATACAAGAAAATCGGTGTTTTCCTTGAAAAAAGTTGTTTGTTTTTACTCTGAACTGCAGAAAGAAAAAGCCTAACAACCTGGATGTCTTCTAAGGGGCTTTAATCTGAAGGCAAATAAAAAGAAATCAGCAGAGGGAACAGAGTGTTTCTCAAAGATTTGCCATATTTTTACCCCAAATTTATGAATTCTGGGTTAACGTGACTCCCAGCACTGAAAATCCTGTTTTCTGCACATAGTAAGGGGTACAAAGCCACTGCAGCATGCCATGTAAGGGCAGCCCTGTGCTGCTTGCGTGGGCTACAGGGCACTTACTGCCTGGTCTGCTCCCGGTTTGCATAAGTGACGTTAACAACGGCGGTTTCGCTGTCTGTGTTTACTGCAAGTAAAAAAGGCAGAAATTAGAGCCAATGCGAGCATCTCAGGCCAAGCACACCTGTAAAGCAGAGTCCATGTTCAGGATGGCCAGGGTCTGTCCTGTCCCAGCCCAGTGAGGGATGTGTACAAGTTTTTCTACTACAAAGGAGAAGATCGTCCAAGGGTTTGCACCATACTGGTACTACTGACAATGCCCACGGACACTTTCCCAGACAGCACAGCCCCTCCTGCTCTATTAAAAGGATACCACTATGTCATATAATTGTAGAATATCCCAAGTTGGAAGGGACCCACAAGGATCATTAAGTCCAACTCCTGGCTCCACACAGGTCTACCCAGAAATTCAGACCATATGACTAAGAGCACAGTCCAAATGTTTCTTAAACTCCCGACAGGCTTGGTGCTATGACTGCATCCTTGGGGAGCATGTTCCAGTGCACGACCACCCTCTTGGTGAAGAACCTCTTCCTGATATCCAGCCTGAACCTCCCCTGTCGCAGCTTGGCACAGTTCCCACAGGTCCTATCAATGGTGACTAAAGAGAACAGATCGGCACTTGCCCCTCCACTCCCACTCATGAGGAAGCTGCAGACTGTGATGAGGCCTCCCCTCAGCAGCCTCCTCTTTTTCAGGCTGCCCTTGCTCTCTGCACTGAAGAAGCAAAGATGTCAAAGCCAGCTCCATCCATTCTCCTGCCACCCCTTGCTGGAGCCCAGGGATGGTCTGAGCTGCACCCCCCAGCCCTCCTTTCTACATCAAGGACAGTTATGGTAACTCTACACACATTGGGCATCCCTGGGGCAATATTTAAGCTCCTGTCTCAACTGAATGCCACTAGAGACTGAGATAAGATCTGCTAAGCAGAGACAGTAGTCCCTCACCAGCCTCCAGAGGATCCTGAACCTTCCCTGGAGGAGCTGTTGGTGAGCCACATTTGTGTGGCCTTTATGGCTCACTGAAGGGGGACCCAAGGGTGCAGAATGATGCTGGCCAGTAACCTGTGAGGGAGACCCATGTGCACTACCCACAGCCTCTGCTGGACTTGCCTTTTAGTGGTTGAGAGTGATAACAACAAAAGGACCCAGTGACCAGGCTGAGACCTCCTGACACCTTTAGCCAGGGACACAGCTGACAAACAAAAAACATGTGTCTGTCCTCTCCATCCTCCCACCCCAAACAGGCAGGACAGAATATATCTAAGTAACAGCAAGTTGGCTTCTTTTTTCAGCATTACCTTGCTCACAGTTTTCTACAGTGCCATACTGAGCTAGCAAACCATCTAGGACCTGGAAAACAGAGAAAAAAAAAAAATCACATTACATGGGGACAGTCAGGACAGACCCAGAAAATACAGTCAATCAATAAAGATAGAGTTCTAGACATTAAGATAGTATAAGCAATTTGAGAAACAAAGGTCCTGTCTGCCCCAGGATAATGGGTGAACGAGCCTCAGAGCCAGCTGTGGGGAGCAGAGAGGTAGAAAAGAGCCTCAGAGCCAGCTGTGGGGAGCAGAGAGGTAGAAAAGAGCCAGGGAAAAGTCCCAGCAGCTGGCTGGAAGAAAGGGTCCATTTTTCCTACAATAGATAAATCAAATAACACTATTATAACTGGGGATTTTGTTGATGTAGCTTACATTGCTTATACCAGTTGAATTTACTCTTGTAGCAGAAGAGGAACAAGTGATATGGACACAAGGATCCAGTATAATTAGACCCACACAAAAACAAAGAAAAGGATGAATCAGTTTTAATCCCAAGTACAGAAACCTGCGGGGGAATTACGCCTTAAATTTGCTCTAAAATTCTTCATGGCAAGTCCTTGTGCTGTTCTCCCTGCTTGCCCCTCTTACCTCCCATCGCAACTGGGGTGGGATGTTTCTGATTTGAATTTTCCGGCTCCTGAAATAAATGAAAAGCAATTAAAACCAGATTTGGTGTCAGAAATTCATTCATCTCACATTGAACTGTTCCTCATTGATGTATCTAATCAAGCTTTGCATTCCCACATGCTTCCAGGGTTTCTGATGGCATTTGGTTAATTACACCTTGCTTTATTGCCTGGTAGGTGCTAGATATATGCTGTGAGCTTCACTGAGAACAAGATGCCAAAATCCACCCAACCCTTCTGCACTGACTATAGCTGTAGCAAGGGCATAGCTAAAGATGCAGAGTTTTGACAGATTCATTACAATGATTAGAAAGCAAAAGGGGAACTAGCATTCATTTAACCTGCCCCCCACACTGGAGACAAACCCAGGCCGTGAAGGGGAGAGTCTGGGGATGTCAAAAATGCTGGCAGGGAGCTTACAGGGCATGGCCATGACATCTGGAAACTCAGCTCCAGCATCTGAGTTAGTCTCAGGCCACTTCTCCACTCAAATTTTTGGCTCTTCCTAACCTAACTTTTTCCAAAGCAGAAACTTTGTTTGCTTGTTTGTTTTTTAATTCTGATGTCCAATTTACCCTGGAGGTGCTGCTGCCTGCCAGCCACTCCTCGCCCAGCAGCTGCCACAGACAGCTGTGGGCAGCTGTGAGCCCTTCTGGACACTCCAGCCCCAGCACACAAACTGCTGCTGGTGGTACCCCAAGAGCCCTTGCCAACAGTAAATACCAGGAAATGTGTTTTTTTTTTTTTTTTTTTCCCCTCACCATTGTGATATTTCCACCATATGGTTTTGCCACCTTCTGCAGTTTTGGTAGCCCACAGGAGAAGAAAACACATTGTGCACAAGCAAAGGGAAGTGGAGAGCACTCAGATGAGCCTCCTCAATTTCCTAATTCACAACACCCAGTGAGACATTCATCTCACAGCAGTAACACCCTTAGGTTCCCAATGCTGCTAACACCCTTGGAGGATGAAGCCTTGTGAGGGCAAATGCACAGATGCGGCTAGCTTTGGTCCAAGAAGAGTTGAGTTAAGGGTGCAAATGTCTGCTGCAAAACACCCCGTGGGATTGACTTTTTAGCCCTCAAAAAGTTCAGCATCTAATTTTAAGGCCCAATCTGAAATGAGTGTCTAAGTGCAGTGGGAGACAGTCTCTACCCCTATACCCAGTCAAGCTGCTCAGCAGAACATGAGACTTTAAGATCCCTAAAGAAAAGGGAGATGAAATGGCATGACCACCACAGGCAGCTCAGCACTGGCAGCACTGTTTTGGGGTAAATACACTTGGACAAGCTCATCACGGATCCGAACTTCAAACGCAAATTATTTGTGGATACGTTAAGTAGTCTAAAAAAGGAGAGAAAATTCGATTCTAGTTTTGTTGTTGTTGTTGTTCTAATTACACAACTTCAGAGGGTGGCCCAGCTCATTTGTCAATGAGAAGAAGAAATTGGTCTCAGCATGAAAAGGTCAAAAGCAATCAGTATTATTTAGACACACAAGTAAAGACTCCTCATAAGCACCTTTATCCTGTCAGTTAAAAGCATCTATCTTGAGCTCATCCTCTGATCTACACTGCAGATTCAAATTCACATATAAAAATGCCTGAAAGGGCTGGTTTGGTTGGTTTCAAACAAATCAACTTTGGATGTTTCCCAAAGTCATTTAGATTCATACTGGAGGGATGGAATATCCAGAAAGATGTGGGATTGCTCTGCCATCTGAAAGCCCTAAAGAAGCACAGAAATAAATACGTAAGTAGTCAGCACTCTCATCAGCTCAAACATCAGCAAGGCTCTGAAACACCAAATTTTGTTGCTACTATGGATGCAAACTTGCAGGGGGAAGGGGGGGGGGGCACAGACAGATAACCCAAACCCTTAAAATTCAAGGTATAGCAGAGGGGTGCAGGAAGAAAGAGAAAAGTAGAGACACTAAGAAACCAGATCTTTTGTTTACATGCTCATCTACATCCCAAAATGAATAGGAGAGAGATTAAGAAATTCAGAAAGCAAAGAATGTCACAGTCCAGTGAGGGACAAAAGGATTTGAACTGACAGAGAAACTAGATTTCCAACCATCCACCCCTGCCACAGAAACATCTCCACCTAGCTACCTACAAGCATTTGCACAGGCAGAGCATGTGTTCTTCACATTTGTGACCAGAACCAAATGCACCATGGAAAGAAAATATTTATTTATTAATTATTAAATATTATACACATATTATGCAATTATATAACATACGATTGCATATATTATATACATATAAAATAATAGCAGTATATAAGTATATAATACAAATAAATATATAATAATATACAAATATTAAATTCCAGCAAGGCCATGCTTGGCTAGAGAGATGAATTTTATCAGCCCAACTGACAGAGCTGCAAAACACAAAACAGGTTCCTGTGAGCCCAAATGCCCTCCTGCACTGAAAACTGCAGAGAAGTCCATCCAGGGAGCCAGCACCCTGAATATTTGTGGCATCAGTGCTGCAGTGCCCATTCTGTGCTGAGGCAGGTGGAAATGGGACTGCAGCCATCTGCCTCTCACTAAGATCTGAGGTTCTGGCTCGATATGGACTCTCCCTGCAGCACGTGGAAATCACCCCATCTGAAGAGCTGCCCCTGCTCGGATTTGGCTCCTTCCAAGCCCTTAGCAGTATCTGTGGTTAGAATTACAGAGGAAGTCATGAATAAATAAACCCATCTTATTTGCTTTACTATAAGCAGGTCCCACTGTATGTTGAACCTTGTTGTGAATGTCACTCTTCAGATCATTGAATGCGACACCTGGTTCTGCTCCCTACAACCTCTGCCCGGCGCTAAGCTTTACTCCAAATAAATAACTCTGCTTGTCGGTGATTCCCAGCTTTTTATTCATAATGTGCCAAACCCAGGGAGCTCCTCCCTCTGCACAGCTATCTAACTCAGTATACACGACCTCAGCTGCAAGCTGGGACTAGCTCAGGGGCTCTGTACAACACAAAGATGTAGCACCACCTGTGCTTGCATCCCTCAGGCAGGAATCACCCGATAAACCTGGCATGAGACAGCAGGAGGTCCCCACGGCCTCCAACTGTGCTGCTTGCCTTATGCCAAAAGCAGGAACATCCCAAATCCTTGGGGTGATCTGATGCAGAGCAAACCACCTGGTAAAAATGTCTATTTGCAAGTCTGGCCAGTTCCTGTCCGTGCGCTGGTAGCTTTTTAGATAACAAAAATAATAATTAAATAAAAAAGGAAAAGGGAAAAAATGGGGGAAGGAAAGATGAGGGTGAAGAGCTGTAGGGCTCGCTGTAGGGCTCTAAGGGGAGAGGAAATGTGAGTCCCAGGAAGGGATCCCAGTGTCACCGTCCTCCTGCTTCATGCCTATATTGCTATTTGTGATAATGGGATTTTAGCATTCAACTATGTCAGTTCTTCAGCCCTCAAAAACCTGCAAAGCTGCCTGGCAGCCCAGTACAGATGTCCTGGCTCTCTTGAGGAATCAGGAGGCAGATCAAGACCTTTGAAATCACAAACAGAAAAGCTTGATGCTTTCCACAAATCCTTCTGAGCTGTGGACAGGGCTCACTAGAAAAATAAAAACCCATCCTGATAAAACCAGACTGTAACAGGAGGCTAAGATGGTTCCATATTATGGAGTTGGGTTAGTATTTGTGACTCCTGAACATCATGATGTACTCTGTCAAAGTCTTCCCTGGGTTTTTCCTTCAACTGTCTCTCTTTAAAGAGCAGAACACGCTACCAGATTAAACCTCACAGGGGGACAAAAGCGAAGAGATGGAGCAAAGTGCCATGAAGCAACCTGCAGTGTCCAGAAAAGGTATGGACTATCCTGAAATATCCAGTACCACACAGAGATTTTTTGCCCTCTCATAATGTGCCTATCAATACAGCACCTGGACAGACTGCATGGTTCAAGAACAAGTGGATCAGCAGCAACCTCTTTTCCAGAATGGACAAACTAATGCGGATATTTTTTTTTTTTTTTTGAAGAAGTGGCAGCAAAACAAGAGCTCTGTTCATTCAGAAAATACCCACTGCTGTTCTCTGACAGCCCTGAAACCAGGTGGAAACCATGCTCTGTTTTTAACACACCCAAAGCCCTCCTACTCACACTGTTGCTGGCTGTCAGTGCCACAGCAGCAGCTGCACTCTTGTGTTGCACAGCATCTCTACTACGGGCAGCACATCCCACTCAGCACACAGTGCTGGTATCCACTGCATCCTTCACAGAAAACCCTGATCACACCACAGGCAGAATCATTGTTAACAATCCAAAATTAGATGGGTTTGTTTGTTTTTAAATTTCACTGGGAAATATCCCAGTGCAGATTCAGCTGTCGGGATCTCCCTTGGCATTCAAGAGGGTGGCCAGAGCCTCCCACTTAATTAAGAATTTGCTTGCAATTCCCCTGGAGTGGACTGGCACAGCAATAGTGGCAGTGACCCAAGAAAAGGGCACTAGCTAGTTACAAGCAGGCAGCCTGGCTGGGCGCCAGCAGGAGGATGGGGCTGGCTGCTGCAAACGATAGCAAAGCAGAATTGGTACAACCTTTTCTTGCTCAAAGTTTCCCTTCGCTTTTGCATGAGCATCGTGTGGTATTTTCATGAGGATGCTTTCAGGGACAGAGCTGCTCCTTGCTGCATTGCCAGCACAGGTGCATGTATTTTCAGCAAGGAGATGCAGTGACACTTGCTTCTGCCTCCTCCCAATAAACTTTTGACCACATGCTCCAACCAAGATGAGGCAGACAGTCTCTCCCTCAAAAGGGGAAGAGATGGATGTTTGGAGAGGAGCATCATTGCACTCACACAGCAGGTGAGCAGCAGGAGTTAGAATAAAATTCTCATCTCCCCACCTGAACCTGCAGACGCACCTCTTTCCCCCCTCACAGCACATGGACCTTCATGATGCAGACAGGGACACTACCGAGGGATTTGGGTTGTTTTCCAATGTGATTTAGCCCTGAGCATTGCAGGAGGCAACTGGAGGGTTTGGT